ACAATCTGTATATTGAACACACAGGAGGTTTGTGGTGTGATCAGGAAGGAACAAGTTGTCTTCTAAAGGGAGGTTGTGGCTTTTACAAGATCAATGATTATAAGGCTCAAGGGAAACTCATTTAAATTGCTTTCAGGATTTGCTATAAACCTCTCAACCTAGTATTTCATGTTGCCCAGGTTATGATTTTACATCCTCATGTTATTAACACAATGAATGGTAGAAATTGCCTTTCTCTATTTACCCTAATTTACCCCCAAACATTCAAAATATTAAAAACTTATTCAAAACCCACCAAAAGAGTCTCACATATCAAAAGCATCCTCAAAACTGCGTTCTCTCATCTCTGCCAGCATTTTAGTGATGCTCTGCAGCAAGGCGAAGTTATTTTTGCACATCAGATACATGCCATGAAGTAACTTGTAGAGTCACAGAGCCTAGTCAATATAAAGGATGTAGTCCAGGGTAGATCAATGCCATCACACCCTGATACTGTGTGACAAACATGCTTATTCCCATGGATATATCTGGTCAAACAGTTTTCTGTAAAGCCTTGTGTAACTAGATGAAACTGCACAAGCTGTGGGCTTGGTCACTCATCTGCAGTAGACTGCAGCAAATTCTGCCTCGCCTCCACTTCCTGATCAGTCTTTTATTGAACGACTGCTGAGTTAACTTTAAACATTTTGCTCAGCGCTGTTAATAATTAAACATCGTGGAAAACGTATTGAAATATTGCGATTCTGTTGCTATTTTGCTCAATAATAAATCCCATCTGTTTACAAGTCGCAACCAATTCACACAGAAAGCCCGACTTTTCCTTTGCTGAGCAGAGTTTTGTATCAACCAAGAGAAGACCATCTGAGCTGCATTAGAAGCCCTCCAGGATGCCAACCCATGTGAAGGGCGCTATATAAATGCAAGTTGCTGTTGTTGTTGTATGTGGGCTATGTTCAGTTTGGAGCAAATTACACCAACGATGTGTTAAGACGCACTGGAATATTGGAATCCTGTAGCTCAACGGTTAGAGCACTCGCTTTGGAAGCGAGGGACCCGGGTTAAATTCCTGGCAGGGTGAAACCTTGGGCAAGTTTCTTAATCCACATGCTTGATAATAATCCCTCAAAAAAAAAATTGATCGTTTCAATCCACGACTGTTTGTGGGACACTGCTGTGCGTAATTGGCTGCCGCATTTCGCCCAAAAGTATACAGTCAATTCACTTTACAGTTTATTCCGTGAAGCGCTTTGAGACGTCTAGAAGACGTGAAAAGTGCTATATCAAATGCAAGATTATTATTATTAATTCCTCTGGTAGATGGAAAGTATGGGGCTGCGTCTCAAGCCAAAATTGTTAAGTGTAAGTCTTTAACGTTTGCTTTAACCTTAGTTATTTAAGTCAGTCTGGATGGTTCTTTGGATGAATGCTATCAGTTGTCCTTAACCATATTTCTCCTCTCTGTTTTGGCCTTTTTCAGAGATAATTCACAATATCCATGGGGGCACTTGAACCGTTTCCTGTCACCCCTTAGAGTGTCAGTATACCCAGAATTAGGAATGTATCATAGTTTGCTCAGGTGAAGCTTACACACAGACTCTCAATTTCTTCAGGTCAGTCCACCTCTTAATATTACTGTCTCCTAGATAATCAATGAATGAACCTCAGGTACTGAAAATATGAGTATCTCAGGGGTTAGTTCATTAAAATCGGCCAAAAGTCAATAAATTTACAGATAAGCTGAGAACAACCTCCTTAACTGGATGAAGGTTGAGGGTACCCCCACAGGGTAAGATTAACGTAAAAACTTGCATCTATAATAAACAATTAAAAGTAAGCTCAAGAAATCCTGTATAAATATGATTAAATAAAATAAAAATATACCTTTTATATACGACTCTTGCTTCAGTGTAACAACAACAACTTGCATTTATATAGCGCACTTCACTCCAGACGGTGTCTCGGAGCACTTAACAGCACCAAGCCAAGTACTACGATTTTTCAGGTCATCTACCCCAGCATATCGTTTGGGGGAAAAAAAAGAGGACTATGGAGATTCTGAGAGGAATGTGAAAGTACACATCCCAAATCTGACTCTGAGGAAAGCATTCACTACTCATTTGTGAAAGCATCCTGTGGGCACAGAACTCAGCCAAAGATTATCAGAGCAACACAGAAATGTACAGAACTGGAAAAAAAACCATTACAGCCCTTCTGGTCAGGCTCAGAGTAAAAAAAGACACAATCCTACATTGCTCGATTTCTCACGTGGCTCAGCGGATTTCTTTGCCAATAGCTTATTTCTCTCTCAAAGTTCATTGCCTTCTCTGCCTGGCTACGTCACCCATTCTACATATTAACCACTCTCTGCGTAAATTAATTAAACTTAAACTGCCTGTTGACCATATCTCTACTAGATGGAACCTGTGCCCCCTTTCAATGGTGTATGTGACTTTGTTCAACATATTTTTAGGGTTTGATTCATCAATTTCTTTCAGGATCTTCAATATTGCCCTGAGGCTTCACTTCCCCAGTGTGAAATTTCACAGATTCTATCGCTTTGCAACTCAAGCCAAAACCAACCAGCCAGCTGATGCGGTCAATGTGGCATTGCAATTTGCAGGATCCAAGCTATTAACAAGCTGTTGTGCCATCAATTCAAAAACCTCCAAAATACATTCTTACCTAATACAGCATTTTGATATTCTGAAAATCCTTGCATTACAGTGCCTTTCACGTCAGGGGAGCGTCTCAAAGCTTTTCACAAGATAGATCGTAAACTGTAGTGACTGTGTATTTTGTAGGCATCTCGAGTGTTAGCAATCTACTGGGGTGTAGATGAGTGCAGTGTTATTTCAGGAGACTTGCTACATGCCCTCCTATAGACAGAGAGAACTCAGAGAAAAATAATTGGTATCATTTTATTTTAAAACGGAGCTGAGAAAACGGGGGATGGCTTCAGCAATGGCAACACTGCAAATGAACCATTAACAACATAGCATTGGCACCTCTTTTTAATGAGCTTGTTGCAGGTGCAGCGTTTTTTTTTAAATATTAGCTTTACTTGCAAAGACTAACCTGCAATGTACGCTGGGGGTGGGGGGGAACGGAAATAAATTTATTGCAAAAAGGTCACTTATGCCACAGCCCCTGGGGGAGGTGGTCAAATATCCATTCTCATTTTTGAAAAAAAACTGATTCAGGGATCTTTCGAAGGTAGAAAGATTAGCTTCCTATAACCCCACACAGGTTGGTATGGTAACGTGCTCCAACCCCCTCAAGCCCACCGCAGAGGGTTGAGTAAGTGACACACAAACAACTCTCTCTCTCCTCACATGAATCAATACACTGCAGAAGACCTGTCAGGGAGGTCACTGTAGGCTACAGTGCTCAGTCAAGCAGAATAGAGAAAAACCAAAGTGAGCTAAAAATAGATGGTTTAACTCTTTTTGTATTAAACTGTACCAGACCCATGCTCTTTCGCTTATGGGTGTGAATTATTGTTGGGGTTCAGGGGTTTTGGAGTGTACTGTAAATTGAAGCCAGTATCCAAAGGCAGGTTGATTTATTCTATAAAATTAGGTTGGATGAAGAAAGTTCTTTGACCCATTTGGCCCATAAAATCGAGTTCCAAAGTAAGGCTGTTTCAAACATTTTGCTCTTAAATTATAAAGCAATGATCGTGAGGTATTTTGATCCACTGGTTGGGAACAGTATGGGAAGTTACAGGTTAGGTATGGATGGAGATGAAGTTTTATTCATCTGCTGCTTCAAACCGTGGGAAGTAGGTACTATGACACAACATAAAGCCCTAAGGGATACATTTGCCAAGTACCAGCCACACTGGACACAGGGCTATTTACTTGGGAGTCAATAATCATTCCCAAAGGCTTAGGTTCTGTCTCCAGCTGCCAACAGAATCTGTCTGCCAGTGCCACTCTTGAAACTCGATCAATATGAACATCTGAACAAATATAGGATATGACCTTCGGGTTTCACACTTTAACAAGATTTAAAGTGATACAGCATTGCAAAGCAAACTTTCTGCATTCCCAACTACTAGAGTAGGTTTGCAAGATGACAACCTGCAAAGTTCTGGAGAACAAATCAGAATGAAGAAGACATAGAGACTGATCAGCTCAGATTCTGATAAAAGTCTTGGTCAAACATGTACAGGGTTAATCTTTATCGAATTGCACTGTTGCTGATCTACACGATGACCTAAGGTTACTTAAATACTATTAATATACTATTAATTAAATAAGAACTTTACTTTTCAAGGAAGGTTGAGTTTCCATTGCTTTCCTGAACTAACCATATTAGCTATCTGCAGCTCCACAGGTTTCAAATATTAATAAATCTCAAGCATGGCTAGAGATCTGAAGATTCTTTTCCCCACAGACTCTTGCATATGTAGAACAGACTCCAAGCAAAAGCAGCTGGTGCCGTGTCCATTAACTCCTCCAGAAATGAACGGGATAACTAGTATCTGCAGAAAATCATTACTAGAAAAATACTCCATGAGACACCATCTTTTCAAACTGCTGGGCTAGGGGATTACATCAGTTTCATTACAATCAAGGACAGCACATTTGTGTAGCACTCCTGACGTGAAAGGTGTAATATATCAAATGCAAGGATAATTATTATTAATAGTATCCTACTAGCTATTAAGTCAATAATAATACATAACATTCAGATCGTGTCTTCTTTCTAAGCTATATTAAAAGTTAACAGTCCAGGGTGCAGAGCCTTAGGATGTCCTCCTGATGTGAAAGGCGCTATACATATGCAATTTCGTTGTTGTTGTTGTAACAGGGAAATGTGGAGAAAAGTTTTTTTCCCCCCCCCGCCTTTTTGCATTTGGAGCAACCTCTTAGCTCTCTCTAGACAAAACCATCTTGCTTTCTTAACTTAAGAAAAGGAATGAAATAAGACCCTACGTTTCTTTAACTTCAACATTGTGAATAGCTGGCATTAATTAATAAGACCTCATCACCTACCGGAAATCTCCTCGAGGCACTGTTTGGCAGTCTTGCTGTAAACTGAATCCATTTTTGTGGGACTGGCACTTGGGTCACCAGATGGTACAAACGCACCATCATTTTCCGAGTAAGTTCTGAAAAATGTATTTTGACACAGGTATGAATAATTCCATACATATCTGCATTACATCGCATTCATTACAATCAAAAGACAGCATGTTTGTGCAACGCTGCGAGACATACTCCTGATGTGAAAGACGTTTATATCAAATGAGAGGATTATTTTACTAGCTATAAAGTCAATATATTAATATACAACATTCAGATCCTGTCTTTTTAAGCTATGTAAAATTGTGCAATGTAATCTACATTTAGAATTGTACCATTTATGGGAAATGCAGTGTAGTGTACAAGTGACACAGAAATGTAATATTTATTCATCTGCCTTTTGCAGCTTCATAATTCAATAATATCCAATTTAGTTTATACACATCAATGAACTTGACTAACTAAAAAGGCGACTGTTGTATTATTATGTTATAGTATATCATAAAGGTTATAAAATATGTTTCCTTTTTGAATCTATCATCAAATCCTGGCAAGTGGAGTTAGGATTGTCCCTCTATTAACCGAGTTTGTTCATTCTAAAACACAATTGAAAAATCATGCTTCCTGGTGGTGAAAAAAACAGTCTAATCCCAACTCATGGGTGGCACCTAACAGTGATTACTGTAAATCATCTCCAACCATCATTCTTCAACTCCTAAATATAAGTGTCTCTCTCTGGAGCAAAGCCACTAAACTGCAGGTTTCTGAAGAAGAGGATAAACCTGGAATCTCACGAGATCAAGAGATTTAGTTCAAAATACACTTGATCATGATAGATTGGCTTGCTGTCGTAATGTTCTCTACATGCAAGAATATAGGACGGGGTGAGAGCACAGGTAATCAGTCTAACTGGTTGACGTTAAAAGGTCAGTTCCACGAACAAGAGCTGCTCAGATCATTTCCATCTCTCTCCAGGCTTGGCAGCCTATTTCCCCCCATTCCATTGAATTAGAAACCTGAATGTTGCTCCTTTAGGTACGTGAGAAGAATTAAGTAGCAGTTCTACTTCAGAAGTTAACATCTCAAGTATGAACATGTTATTCCTTACAGTGTATTTGTCAAAAGGTTTTCTTTGTTCATAATCCTGTCCCATTGTTCTTTTCTCTCAAGATAGGACATGACTATCCCACCAATTTGCTTCATAATATTAAAAGTTAGATTGTGCCCATTCTTCCTCTAATTTGTTCCTGGTACCTTTCATCATTTTTAGAGCATTTTGTCACTAAGAGAAAAATGCACAAAAAATCATGCCTTTTTTCTAATTCTAATAATTTACAAATATAAACAACAATCACGTTCTGTATTAATGCTAACAATTTAAAGTCGAACAGTTTAATATTGCATTGTTATATGAATCTTCCATCTCGGTTCTTGAACATCTCCATGAATGAATAGTGTTCCTGTGGTATAGTTAAGGAAATCAGACAAGGGTGCCAATGCTGGATTTCCTCAAAGTGGATAACCTTGTGATCTAGGAAGTCATTTGAAAGCTGACAAAATCGATCATATGCAGCATACTGGAAGAACCAACTGAAATAGAATTGCTACTGGGCTCAAAACTATATTCATTAAATGATTGCCATAGACCATCACCCACTCATTCCTATGTCATTTTATAAATATCCATTCAAAGACTGCAGGATAGGTTTGGCAATGATTCTAATCGAAGGGACTGGATTTTAAATGTTTTAGACAACAAGCAGCAGCCAAGAACAATTTAAGAATTCCAAAAGTGACGGTATTGGATGACACAGAGGATGAGCATTGTTCGACCATCTATGGACATTTTGTTGACAGCTACTTCAACATAGAGAGAATACCTTGACTCCGTCTATTGTAAATATCCCAGATTAAATGAATTGGGACAGCTTTAACTTGTACAAATGACTTCTAATGCAGTCCTAATTGGCACAAGACAGCTGGAGAAGTAAAATGAAAATATCGTAGTTCGTATTGTAAGAAAATATGGAAAAAGAAAAGGGGTGTTTGGCTCATTTCCCATTCAAAATTTCCCATTCAAAAGAGCAAGTTCAATCCACAAACTCACACTGTCTTTTCAATCCATTTCATTCTCTCCTGAGGGAAGTGGACAGTCAAACCTAAGACTTTCAAAGGGTTAAAACTCTGCAAAACTATCCCCCATTAATCAAGCATAAACTCTAGGGTATTAATTGAAAATGATTATACATTAACTTTATTCAACGCTAGTTAAATTCTACAGATAATGTGCTCAGGGGCATAACATGAGCGAAGATGCTCTCCCTAATGGTTCAGTGAGTATATTCAGTGAGACGTTGAGCCATGCAGACCAGAGATGGGATGATTATAATAGGCCTCGGTGCTCTGGGTGGTGAAGAAGAAAATGAGCCAGTGACCCACCTCCTGATCACCATCCTCTGGCCCCCATGGGAGATGCCTATGGGTTGACACTGGGTAAGAGCAACATCAAGCCCAGCTGTTGAATAGCCTGTCAAACCGCATGGTCAAGGCTTGTACATTATTAATAGCTACTTGGACTGGACACTAGACACCTGTGGAACCATACCCCAGTAGAAAAAAAGGAATCAAATGCCTTGAGGAATTTGATTCCTCCAAAGAAGGACTTGGGTGCCCTTGTACACCAATCACAGAAAGTTAGTCTGCAGGTGCAGCAGCAATTAGGAAGGCGAACGGTATGTTAGCATTCATTATGAAAGGATTAGAGTATAAGAGTAGGGAAGTCTTGCTGCAACTGTATAGAGCCCTGGTGAGACCACACCTGGAATACTGTGTGCAGTTTTGGTCTCCTTATTTAAGGAAGGATGTACTTGCCTTGGAGGGGGTGCAGTGTAGATTTACTCGGTTAGTACCAGGGATGAAGGGGATGAGTTACGAGGATAGGCTGACCAATTTGGGCTTATATCCTCTAGAATATAGAAGAATTAGAGGGGATCTTATAGAAACCTATAAGATCATCAAAGGACATGATAGAGTAGATAGTGGGAGATTGTTTCCCCTGGTTGGAGAAACTAAAACCAGGGGTCACAACCTTAAAATCAGAGGCCAACCCTTTTGCACTGAGTTGAGGAAGAACTTCTTCACTCAAAGGGTGGTGAATGTATGGAACTCACTACCCCAAAGGGCTGTTGACGCTCAGTCCTTGAACATATTCAAGACTGAGATAGATAGATTTATTATTGCAAAAGAGATTAAGGGATATGGGGATAAGGCAGGGTCAGGTTATTAGCTGGAGTTAGATTAGAAGATCAGCCATGATTGAATGACAGGGCAGTCCAGAAAGGCTGAATGGCCTACTCCTGCTCCTACATGTTATGTTATGTTATGTTATGATCCACAATGAGTAGAGTTGTCTCAACTCTACCGTGTGTTTTGTTTTACATTGTGTATTTAATCTCTTGTGAGAAAGTTCCTCTACATTAGGTTAGAGAGTGTGATCCACATATTTATTAATCTGTGGATAAGGAAAATGTTTCTTCTAATCTCTAGTCATTTTAAGGATAATTAACTTTGTGCCTTTTCCTCTAATTTGTGGCTGTGGTTCAAGTCAAATAGTTTGCTAACACCTGCATCATCTAACTCTCACACGTTTTAAAGATCTGCTTCCTCAATGCAACAATTTACATTGTTATAGCTTCTTTCACTCCGCGATGACATCTCAAAGCACTTTATACAGCTAAACAGAAACCTAGTCCTTTTAAAGCTGACTTTAGTAACAGGTTTGGGGCTGAACACTCCTGATTTAGCGAAAATAATTTCTCCCTCACCTTTCTCAGTCAATTTGGTCACCAATTTCTTTTTAAAATGTTAGCAAAAGCCATTTTTTTCTGATTCTGCACTCGTAGAATGGTCTTTGAAAATGTAAACTTTTAAAATGATTTTCAGCAGAGTATCTGACAAAGAAGCACAATATCTACTCTCTGCATCCCAATTAAAAACTGCCTGATAATTGCGGATTGCACAATCCAATATTTACAATCAAAACGACAAATTCACATATAAAGAACTGTGCAAAATAGATTGAGGAGCCAATGGTAACTGGACTGATCTGACCTGTAAACTAATCCGTGCTTCTCAGTAAAGTTCTAAATTCATACAAGACATGAAATGACTTCTAATGCAGTTATTTTAAGTAAATATTCCTTGTGCGAATTTTTCTATAATGTGCCAACTATTTCTTTGTTATTTATACTCTTGATAACGATATTAAAAAATATCTCCAGTCTTTGGCTATCGTGGTTTTCCCTTGGACTTGTGAACTTGTTTTTGAGTAAAATGTGCCACAAAGAGTATATTGAACTTTTACTGTTTACTGTCAATGTTCTTATATGTACTGAAATTTGGTCCAGCCAAATACTGCCAAACTGCTGAAAGGGTTTATTTTATTTCCTATAATAAACTGTGTTATTGGCTGGCATTCAATGTGCACTGACTGTTGGTGTTTTAATTTTCAACAGCTGTAAAAGATGAAATAAGCAGTGAAATGAGCTAGTAATGGCAAAGTCAGAAGAACCTTGGTGTGTGTTTAATTTGCAGTACGTTGCTGTTAATAACTATAGATTTGCAATGTATTAACTGCAACTATGCAGTTCACTTTTACCTTGAAATTAGTACAGTAACAATAATAACAAATTGGTGTTTATATAGTGCTTTTCATGTCGGGAGGACATCCCAAGGTCCAAGGTTTGGATTTGAGAAGGGCAGGGTGGAAAAATGACTGAAGATGCAGTCAAAGAGGAAGGTCTTGAGACTGACCTTGAAGGAGGCAAGGGAACAGGTGAGGCAAAGGGATAGAGTTTCAGAGAGTTGGGGTCAGAAAAGCTGAAGATCCGACCACGGGTGATGGGGTGGACAGAGCGGGGACATGACGCCTGCTGAGTGGAGGGAGCGGGTGGGTTGGCAAGGTTCGAGAAGGTCACAGATGTAGTGAGGGGCAAGACTGTGGAGGGATTTAAAAGTGAGGATGAGGATCTTGAACTTGATCTTCTGGGGGATAGGGAGCCAGTGGAGCTGGTCAACGATGGGGATGGCAGGCTCGCAGAGAGGACACGAGCAGCAGGATTCAATAAAAAATGTCCTGCTTGATAATGGCCCACATCACTTTATGGTACCTGTTCTGTTTTTAAAAACACCAGCTCCTCAGTAATACTTGGATGGCCAGTGGAAGGAGAAACTCAATGGTCTTTGCTATTTTCACATTTTCTTATCATCTAAAACATTGAGATTGTTTTAAAGCAAGGTAGTAAACACCATAAAATAAAATACACAATGAAGACATTCACACAGCTAGCAGATCCAGAGTGGGTGAATCAGGAAGAAGAGATATGACATAAATAAATATTCTTTTAAATGCTTTAAAACAGTCAATCTGCTTTGACATAGAGGGGTAGTGTTTATCGTAATCTTGGAAGAAAATATACTTAAGTTATCCCTAAGCATCATAATATGAAGTCCAAGCAGTTGACTGTGTCTAGTTAAAAGCAAGATTTAAATATCTGCATGTGGATCGAAGAGAAAGCAATTCAATAAAATATATAAAACAGCACTGCAGTCTGCTTCAGTGACATCCTGATGCGTTTTTATACACAGCAATCAATCTTAAAATGTTAATATTGCAGCAGCTATCCTCCACAATGAAGCATTAACTATAATATCCTTTGCATTTGGTCTAACTCATTTAGTTTTTGGAGGACATCTTAAAGCTCTTCACAGAATTTGCCATACAGTGTTGTGACTGTATTTTGTAGGCGACTACGGCAGCCAATTTGACACAGTAATGTGGGGAAAGAGCAATTATTCACTGTAAAGAAAGGGCTCTCAACAAAACACAAAGAAACCTGAAAATAAGTGAAGGTAAAGGATAACACTGCAAACTCCCGCTGTGTAGCAGCCAGGCAAATAGACTTAGTGGTGGTGAAGTCATTAGCAATCAAAGCGCATTAGTTTGATAAGTATTCCAGTGAGGCAGAACAATCAGTTAACACTAATCCATAAGCGCAGAATCGAATAAAACAGGTATTAAACTAAGCAGAAAAGTTTGATGAATGTGCCATGTTAATTCTATGTTAACCTTATTTAGTATGGCAAGGTCACAGGAAGCTGCAATTCTGTGCTGTGTTATTTAGCAAGACACACACAAATGTCTTCCTTTCATAAGTTATGGAGCTTCTTTCCTTAATTGTGTTTAGTGGTATACATTTTAAGATTTGTTTTGGTTGGAATTAGTTATTTCCCTTTCCTTAAAACCCTTTGTGTGAATTTACATAGTGTGTCCGCAACCAGTGAGATAACAACTTGCACCTCAGAATGATACAACGTGGATTCATGCCTGCAATTTTCCACAATGTCCTTCCAAATTTCTTGGTGAGGACACAGTGTGGAGGTACATTACTTGTATAATTGTATACCACACAGTGGTCTAATTGAGGCGATATTTGCACACATCTGGGAAGCAGTCACATGCTTCCCTCTCAGTCAGGAAATAATGGTGTGGCGAAGGGGGTAATTAAATATATAGTAAGAAAAACATTTGCTGATAATATCTTGCTAATTCGGTCACAAACAACGCTGTGCTTGACTGCACCTGCCATTTTAAAACTGTGCCGCTGTTAAATCTGGTTTGCATGCTGGGGCCTGTAATCGAATATCAGTCTTGTACCTGAAGATGAGGAACCAGACATGGATTCCCAGCGTGTATTTCAAAGCTGATAATGTTGACACTCAGTGTTAGAGGAATAAGTTACGAAGAACAACTGAATGACCAAGGATTTGATCAAAAAGAGACTTTTTGGAGGGAAAGCTACGTAAGATACTATATGGAGTAGATAAGTTAAAGTCAGCACACGTTCAAATAAGCCACGGCAGTTTATGGGCAGCAAAATGTACATTATCTATCAATATTATTAAAATAATAATTTGGTCACTCAATCCACGACTGTTTGTGGGATGCTGCTGTGCGGAATTGTGTGCAATTGGTGTGCGCAATTGGCTGCTCACCCACAAAATATACAGTCAATTCACTTTACAGTATATTCTGTGAAGCGCTTTGAGACGTCTCAAAGACGTGATAAGGTTCTGTATCGAATGCAGAGATTATTATTATTATTCATACATCCAGTCATCCATATTGACAGAAAGAATATCATCAATCCACAAGTGAAGTTGACATGTGTACTTGTTATCTGAACTGTTTTCATACACTACATGCTTAAAGTTCCCCAACTTTATTGGTGTCAGAAGACTGTCCAGTACTTACTTGTACATGAAAGGGGCAACAGTGGCAGTGTTGGGATGGCTGTATTGCTGTTGTGGCTGAGGGAGCTGGACAACTATGCTGGTGTTCCCGATCATCTGTCCACCACTAATCACCATGGAAGCCGAAAGTGCAGCAGTGCTTGAGGAGGAAGCTGGGGAAGAAGCCAGGCTTGCCCCTCTCCCCTCCAATGAAGCTATACTACTGGAGCTGGAGGCTTTGCCATCAGCCTGAGATTTCTGTAATGGGTGGCTCTGGCTTCCTTTTGCAGTCCTAGCTTTTTCTGCATCTTTTGCTCCTCCGGGTGAGGACACCAATGCTGGCTTTCCTGTTGATACTTTCAATCCTGGTTTAGGTATCCCACTCGAAGCCGGGATTGAGCTTTCTTTTTTGACTCCAACAGGTTTGCCTCCTTTGGGGATTAAGCTTGCAATTTTTGAGCTCTTTCTGGACGCCTCAGTCATTTTCTCCTTTTCTTCTTTGCCACTTTTTAATCCTTTGTTTTTCTCCTTGTCTTTCTCCTCTTTCTCCTTCGTTTGTGATAGAGTTTTTTTATTGCTAATAGTTTTGCTCCCTATTCTTTGGGATGTTCCCTTCAGTTGTGTTTTTGGACTACTTGTTGCAGATGCCCCACTGTTAATCGCACTGTTACAAACATCTAGTTCCCCACCCTCTGAGAACATGTCCTCGTCTCTGCCACCATCAGTAGGTCCTGCGCTTGGAATCATGGGTGGTCTTGATGAAGTCCTAGTCAACTTAAATTTCTCCAACATAGATTTTTGTCCATTGGATGGGGCCTTTGCTGTCTCTGGTGGAGGGAGTCTAAGTCTGTCAGTGGAGGGGGTTGGAGATGTCACAGGACTGGGCTGCTTTACACTCAGCATGGATGAGGTGGCAGTGTGCTTGACATTCATCGATTTACTACGCCAGGATTTATTGGTGCTTGGAGGAGGGATGGCAGAGAGTTGCTGCTGCTGCTGCTGCTGCCCACTGCTGGTAGCTGACTGCACATTTCCATTCATGCCTCCTGCCTGTGGTGGACCTTTAGGTAACTCTGAAAACAAAGAGTAAACATAGCTCTTAATTCAACATCAAATCCTTTCCTTCAAACGCCAAAGACACAGATTCATCTTAACATTCCAACTTCGCTAAAAAGATGCAGTGCTCTTCTTTACCAGCCTTACGCCTGTTTAAAAATAATTAGTTGCCTTCTCTCTGTCTGTACTATAGATATGTTACCGACTCGAAGCAACATTCGTTGGGGACTTGGAAGATTAGTCGCTAATGTTCACACTTACCTTGATCTTTTTATCAAACAATCACACATTAACTGGGAGGAAACCAGTGTGAGGTAAAAAAAAACATGACCCCCATCTTCTGGAGTGTCTTTTTGTGGATATAGCTACACTGCACACATGCACATCCGTCATGATTATGTAAAACTGCTGATACTGTAACAGATTTGTTAACTGCTTGCTGTTAACCACACAAAACTGTTTCACAGCTAAGTTAAAAATTACCACTGTATTTTGCTTGTGACATAAGGTTAGTTAATGATACTAGAGCGCAGTGCGAGAGCTCAGTGGAAACATGTAATGGTATTTAATCAGATTACTGCATAACAAAGAGTACCCGAGGTGTTAAAATCTACAATTAGTGTATCGCAGCTGGGAAGAAAATATATTTCCCTATCAACAGCAAAGTCAATCATTTCAGGATATCATTAGAAATTGCTTTGTTTAATCATACAGCCAAAGAGATCTCTAGCAAAGCATTGAGTTCTTGATATAAAGAATATTCTCTCAGTCTTGCTGAGAAATTAATGCCTTCCATCAATTCAAATGTTAAAAGTATCCTGTTAATCAACATGGCAGTGACTTGAAAAGACTGCACCAAATAGCAGATAAAAACAGGAGACTTTACTGAATACTACTTTGGAGACTTCCATAAAATCGAGTTCAATTTTCAAATGAAAAAGTGATTAACTCTCTTTTCACCTGAACAGGGATAAACATCTATTAATAGATGGGTTATGCTACAAAAATTGAGTTTAACAAGAATTAAATGTTCCCAGAATTGATTTTGAGTTTTGTGCTGCAATGTACTAAAACAAGGAAACATCATAGGTGAGACATTCCAGTTGGGTTTAGATTTACTCTATTTATGTAGTATGTCAGAGCGTACAAGGTTTGGCAAATGATTTAAAAATGGCCTTATTAATGAAGCTGTTTGTTTATTTTAAAACTGAATTCAACAATTTGTCAAATTATGTATATTCTGGAATGCTACATTAATAAAGTAATTACAGACCCAAGTGGAATTTTACTCCACCCATCTTCCCCCTCAACCCCACCGCCCCCACTCCAGTGCCTTGGGAAGAAGAAATTAAATCCTGTGATGAAAAGCACCAAGAAAACAGAACCCGCTATGTGCGTGCTTCTCCAAGCCATGGCATTTTCACATAATTTATCTGGCACAATGCTGTTTGTAATATCTGAAATAACACTGCATTGAAATTCTGCAACAAGAAGCAAAAGCTCGACATCTTCATCTCAGACTGTGGACATTAGCGGAAACCATTCAAGTAGAAAACTAGGTACTTGCAGTTGCTAAATATTGACGGTTGCCAGTGGAGAGCAATCTATTGACTGAGAAGCTTGACATTTAGTTCTGTCTGATTTCTTAAAAATGCAGGCAGACGCATTTATTACTAGCACCTTTCCTGACGATATCAGGAAGAACCAAAAAGAGATTGGGTTTTTATCTGCCCACTGAATCCCAAGCATCAGCTGTAACTGTGACTCGAATATTTGTGCAGAAGTATTTTGCTCACTAAATACACAGTCGATTTTGTAAAGTGCTTTGAGACGTCTCGAAGACATGATAAGGCGCTATGTCAAATGCAAGGATTAATATTATTATTAGTAAGTAGCTTTCTTGATTACCTTTTAACAGCACCGCTGCTGAGAGTTCAGAGCTTCTTATCAAACAAGTTTATGGACTAAATGTCTTGAGTTTCCAACAGTCACCCCAAACAAGCTTAGAGAGGGGCTGCAATTTGATAATTCAAATGATAATGATCATTGACCAAAATAATCTTAAAAGTACACGTCACAGTTTCCAATATTTGATTGAAGCAATTAAGCTTCCCATGTGAATGGCAGTAGAACAGCAATGCAAAACTGCTTGGAACGAACAAGATTAAACAGAATTATAAATAGGTTTTGGTCTTTATATATTTTGATTGACTGGTGTGGTGGTTACCCAGGAAGTTCCCATAGTCTTAGAACAAGTTTCCGAGAACACAACAACAACATTATATTTATAGAGCGCCTTTCAAGTAGGGAGGACGTCCCAAGGCGCTGGACAGTCAGGGGTCAGGACCTGAGCAAGGGGGAGGGGTGGGGGAGGGGGAGGAAAGGCAGAGAGATGGGAGGGCGACTGAAGGCACGATCGAAGAGAAGGGTCTTGAGACTGGCCGTGAAGGAGGCAAGGGAGGAAACGAGGCGAAGGGACTGTAGGATGAAGTTCCAGAGTGTGAGGGCAGAGAGGCAGAAAGCCCGGCCACCGATGGTAGGGCGGGTCGGGCGGGAGACATGGAGCAGACCGGAGCCCACTGAACAGAGGGAGCGGGGCAGGTTGGTAGGGAGTCAGCAGGTCAGAGAGGTAGGAGGGGGCAAGGCCATGGATAGTCTTGAAAGTGAGGACAAGGATCTTGAATTCGATCCTCTGGGGGATGGGGAGCCAGTGGAGTCGAGCGAGGGTGGGAGCGATGGGGTCACGGAGCCTGATGCACAAAAGTACAGGAGCTGCAGAGTTTTAGATGATCTGGAGCTTGTGAAGGGAAGAGTTGGGAAGGCCGATGAGGAGGGAGTTTCCATAATCGAGCCTTGATGTGACAAATGCGTGGGTGAGGGTTTCGGCAGCCTGAGGGGTGAGGCAGTGGCAGAGTCTGGCAATGTTGCGGAGGTGGTGGTAGGCAGTGCCGGTCATGGCGCGGATGTGGGGGAGAAAGGACAGTTCAGGGTCAAACAAGACACCCATGTTCCTGACTGGCTCAGTGAGGTTGAGTGTGCAGCCGTGGAGGCTGATGCTGCCAGCGCCCGAGGTGCGGAGGCGTTGGCGAGAGCCAATCAGGAGGGCCTCGGTCTTGCTGATGTTCAGTTGGAGAAATTTGTCCCTCATCCAGGACTTGATGTCAGACAGGCAGTCAGTCAGGTTGCCAGTAGTCCTGGAGTTGAGGGTGGAGGCAGAGAGAGCCACACTGCATGAATTTGAGAGTTTCCTTATGCAATCCATCTACGCACAACTAGAGCAAAGCCTGCAATAGGATCTATTCTGGAAGGTGGCTCACAAGCTAATTAAAGCAGGAGGTGTCAGCGCTTTGTCCCACATTTCAGCACAAAAGCTGCTGGAGACAGCAAAGCTGCCACAATTGTGTGTTCATGTCATTAACCTGTCTTACCTACCACCAGTGGGGTTCAAACGAATGCTCAAAGGTATTTCTCAGCTGCAAAAGACAGATGAAAAACTGGCATGATTCAGAAATCCTAAAGCCGTTCCATATAAATTCAACTGTGTGCCTTTGAGGAAGAGGCAAAGCTCAATGAAAATTCTTGTGGTTATAAGTGCCTTACTGTGAGCACACCAACAATGTGAAATATGTTAAAAGTAGACCCAGAATACTTAGACTACCCACAAAGAGAGCCACCTCAACCATAATGCTCACATGGTAACTATTCCGAAATCTTCAGCTTATTTTTTTAAAAATAACTTTCAAAATGATTTGCAAATTACAAAATAAAACATCAACATACGGCAGCTGATTAGGAGGTGCATACTTTGAACTGGCTGATCTGTACTTTTGAACTGAAAGAAAATAAACTCTGGCCATTTGCTAGAAAAGTGCACAGAGGAGATGATCACTTTATGTTTGTGTTCGCCTCACTGATGTTATTGTCTCCAATGTGATGGGCCTTAGCAAAAACAGTTACAGGAGCAGGGTACTCTCATCACAGAACAACAGCCAAATCCTGTAGCTTAAAGCTCACTGAAGTATCAATAAAGATCATATTACTGTCAGCACTGGACTGCAGAAACAGTCGGAATATAACAGAACTGTATATGGAGCTTATTGATGGTAAATACTAGCAATCACAGGCATTGTAACATTCATGGAAATATTACAGGTTTTAAGGTGGGACTTAAAGACAGATAGAGGGAGGTAAGACGGAACGTAAAGAGGAGTTCCAGAGGTTTGCGTATAGAACCTGAATATCTACTGCTCCCTTCATGCAAGCATTCTGAGATGCTGCCCCATCTGAAGGGCACTATATAAATGCAAGTTGTTGTTCTAGATGCTATAGATATTGTACCTTTCAATATTGTACATCCAAGGATGCTCCTTTAACATGAAGTCTTTCTTCTGCATCCCCATCCCCATTTGAAGTGCTCAACAAGCACAAGTTCCTGTTAATATACCTTGCTTGCAGATCCAATCAAGGTGATGTGTTTATTTTGTGTGGGGACTCACATCCAGGAGTCAGGTGTCAGAACAACAGTTTGATTTGGGTTTGGTTGTTGAAAAGCTTGTTGGTTATTATCTTCACACAAAGTCTAGCCTTTTCTCAGGGAAAGGACTCATTTTTACTTCTTCCAGGGGATGTTTTCAAGGGTCCCAGTCACCTTCTGCTTCTTAGCCCCTGAGGCCCTTATAGATGTGTGAGCCGTGACAATGAATGTTGACAGCTTATTGTGGGGGCATTACAGCAGAGCTTGATCCCATCCTCGCCTGATGCCACATGCATGCAACTTTCAGCAGCTGTCTCTGGGTAGCGATCAAGAGTGGGAAACATGTTCATTTTCTCTTTCCTAACCTGAAGCCAGCACTCTAACTGCTGATCTGACTGAGACTGATTCCAATCTCCAGCCTTCTAGTCTTTAAGGCTTCACGATGACTCAAGAGCATTGGAGGGGGCTGCATTTACATAGACCGCACCATCATCACTGCTCAGCTAAAGTCGATAGGAAAAATGACGCAATTGAGTGCTGCTA